ACTCATACACTCATGGTAACATTATAAGTGGCACAATGGGCTGTGTCCTGGACTCCTTAGGCACTACTGCCTTTTCACATGAATATATATTTCAATAGCTGTATTTTCTCTCTGTTCAAAAGAAATCCTTGATATCTACAGAAGTTACCGAGATGAATTAGCCTGAAAGTAAATGAAGTGATTTAATTGCTTTACATGTTTTTTAAATTGAGGCAATAGAAATAGAGGTATTGGAACTTGCGCTCCAGTGACTTTATCTCCTCTGTTTTGGGCTTGCACAGCATCCCTAGTGGAGGAATTGCCTCAAACAAGAAGAAACCCAAGACAGTTAACATTCAGCTGGCCAGCTTTCCACACCCCTCTGAGGCTGTACAGTATGTTAATGCAGTTGAGATAGTGTCGCTGCCTCCCCCTCTGACCAGACTGTGGATACAACCCAAGCCCCTGCCCCGACTACTGGGCAGGGTAGAGCCGTCCCACTCCCACTAGCCCAGAGGGGCTGTCACCATGGCAACACTTGTCCTGAGGCAGTGATCAGATGTCAGAGTGAGTCTGAGGGGGATCTAATGGACTGGAACTCAGGGCAGGGGAGAGGGGTGATAGGGTGAGAGGCAACCTGTAACCTGTCACCTGTAACTAGCAGTTGTTGGTCTCAAATATCAAATCAGGATCATTCATTATGAAAGTATGGATTAGTGAATGGTTGAATACTGTGTATCCAGTCAAAATATAGCCAATTACGCAAATGTTCAGACCAAAAAGTTAACCACACAACCATATGAATAAAACAAATAACACTGTAAAACGACTGAAATGTAGGGCAATAGCACTGGGAGTACTGCCACATAGGTGCTGAGGATGCTTATTTCTCAATGGAGGTTTCCTTCCTCTATTAGGTTGAGTTGCTATCAGTGCCTCAATGTTTCTCCAAAGCGTCATCGTTATATTTGAAATATTAATGTCTGCTTGCCATGTCTGAAGCAGAGAGGATTGCCCTGGCTGTGCTCTACTGCACTGTACATAAAGCAAAAGAATAAGGAGGGCCTCTGCCAAAAATAAACCTCAGTTCAGACCGCAGAGTCAAACTAGAGGTTGGTTAAAAACTGCTGGAGAAGATCGATATTAGTTAAAAAAGTTAACTTTAATTTATCCCCCTGGCTGAATTTTTGTTGAAGTCAGAAACACTTGTGGCTTTCCCATGTCAAAATTACAATGTCTAAAACTCAGCAAGAGTTGTGCTGAATTTGGAATAAATATTAGTATTAAATAGACTCAAGAACCCTGAGAGAGTAGATCCAGAAATAACAGATACAGTGGGGAGAACAAGTATTTGATACACTGCTGATTTTGCAGGTTTTCCTACTTACAAAGCATGTAGAGGTCTGTAATTTTTATCATAGGTACACTTCAACTGTGAGAGACGGAATCTAAAACAAAAATCCAGAAAATCACATTGTATGATTTTTAAGTAATTCATTTGCATTTTATTGCATGACATAAGTATTTGATACATCATAAAAGCAGAACTTAATATTTGGTACAGAAACCTTTGTTTGCAATTACAGAGATCATACGTTTCCTGTAGGTCTTGACCAGGTTTGCACACACTGCAGCAGGGATTTTGGCCCACTCCTCCATACAGACCTTCTCCAGATCCTTCAGGTTTTGGGGCTGTCGCTGGGCAATACGGACTTTCAGCTCCCTCCAAAGATGTTCTATTGGGTTCAGGTCTGGAGACTGGCTAGGCCACTTGACCTTGAGATGCTTCTTACGGAGCTACTCCTTATTTGCCCTGGCTGTGTGTTTCGGGTCGTTGTCATGCTGGAAGACCCAGCCACGACCCATCTTCAATGCTCTTACTGAGGGAAGGAGGTTGTTGGCCAAGATCTCACGATACATGGCCCCATCCATCCTCCCCTCAATACGGTGCAGCCGTCCTGTCCCCTTTGCAGAAAAGCATCTCCAAAGAATGATGTTTCCACCTCCATACTTCACAGTTGGGATGGTGTTCTTGGGGTTGTACTCATCCTTCTTCTTCCTCCAAACACGGCGAGTGGAGTTTAGATCAAAAAGCTCTATTTTTGTCTCATCAGACATTTACATTTACATTTTAGTCATTTAGCAGACGCTCTTATCCAGAGCGACTTACAGGAGCAATTAGGGTTAAGTGCCTTGCTCAAGGGCACATTTACGTCATTTAGCAGACGCTCTTATCCAGAGCGACTACAAATTGGTGCATTCACCCTATAGCCAGTGGGATAACCACTTTACAGACCACATGACCTTCTCCCATTCCTCCTCTGGATCATCCAGATGGTCATTGGCAAACTTCAGACGGGCCTGGACATGCGCTGGCTTGAGCAGGGGGACCTTGCGTGCGCTGCAGGATTTTAATCCATAATGGCGTAGTGTGTTACTAATGGTTTTCTTTGAGAATGTGGTCCCAACTCTCTTCAGGTCATTGACCAGGTCCTGCCGTGTAGTTCTGGGCTGATCCCTCACCTTCCTCATGATCATTGATGCCCCACGAGGTGAGATCTTGCATGGAGCCCCAGACCGAGGGTGATTGACCGTCATCTTGAACTTCTTCCATTTTCTAATAATTGCGCCAACAGTTGTTGCCTTCTCACCAAGCTGCTTACCTATTGTCCTGTAGCCCATCCCAGCCTTGTGCAGGTTTACAATTTTATCCCTGATGTCCTTACACAGCTCTCTGGTCTTGGCCATTGTGGAGAGGTTGGAGTCTGTTTGATTGAGTGTGTGGACAGGGGTCTTTTATACAGGTAACGAGTTCAAACAGGTGCAGTTAATACAGGTAATGAGTGGAGAACAGGAGGGCTTCTTAAAGAAAAACTAACATGTCTGCGAGAGCTGGAATTCTTACTGGTTGGTAGGTGATCAAATACTTATGTCATGCAATAAAATGCAAATTAATTACTTAAAAATCATACAATGTGATTTTCTGGATTTTTGTTTTAGATTCCGTCTCTCACAGTTGAAGTGTACCTATGATAAAAATTACAGACCTCTACATGCTTTGTAAGTAGGAAAACCTGAAAAATTGGCAGTGTATCAAATACTTGTTCTCCCCACTGTATGTACAAGACATGTGCCTATACAGTAAACTGTGGACAGCAACTTTCAGTAATTGGTCCCACACCATAAACCTTTGGGAAATCATTCATAGCATGATGCACAGTGTTTTCTCCATATTTCTCAATTTATGCTCCTCCCTAGACTAGATAACAGAACTTGGCTCTAACAAGTTTCTTAGAGTATGTCCAAATTGTTGAAACAAGCAGCAGCACCGTTATAAAACTGTCACTTCCAATTTATGACTGTCAGTTCTGCATGAAATTGTCCCATAGCTTTGCTACTGTAATATTACAGCATGACAATGTTTTGCTGTATGATCCAGCAGTACCACAGCATTGCTGTGCATGGTTTTCATGATTGATTATTGAGAATGATGAAAGTTCATATGCCTGACTGACATACAGTAAAAGGCTCCTCAGTGTACTACAAATGAGAAATCAAGTCTTGTTATGTAATATTTCTACAGTCTCCAATGTATATTTGTCAGATACATTGACACCTTCTGACAGCATTCTAAAAGGAAAACTGTTCAATATTTCTAAATAACAAATATTACAGAATATGTAGACATCAAAGTATTTGCTGCCAGCTATGCTTTAATGTTATCAACCCAAATCAATCTAGAAATGACCTGACTAATTAGCAGATGTGGGTCTAATTTTACATTTCATTCTAATCAAAAATATGTAATTAAACAGATAATACATTTTTATGCATAGCAGGAAACACATCTGTGCTGCACCGCCAGGGAGGAAAATGCTAGAGAGTTTGCCAAGAACGCTCCTAATGCATCCATGTACAAAGAAATAAACACTGCTGAGATCACTGTCATGAAACTCTACAGTATATGTATCAGGGTTGGGGTCAATTTAATTTCAATTCAGTCAATTCAGGAAGTAAACTGAAATTCCATTTCCAATTCAAACATTTTCTCATAGAGAATTATTGAGGAAAATGTGAATTGCGGAATTACAGTATGTGTGTGTGCAGTGTGTTTTTCATTACAGTAGGATATGTCTACTTTCGTTTCAGCCAAGGACAGTTTTGAATGGGGAGAGGTAGTGAGGTGACAGGGAGGAAAGGATGAGGAGGAAGCGAGGCAGTGCCTGCAACAAGGCAAACATAAACTGTGCCACTTCATCTGAAAACAATGGGAGACAGGACACTGAATGTGCTCTCATCCACATGTCTCCATTGTCTGCCCGCCTCCTCTTTTACTCTTATGCCATGGAGCATAAGTGGGGGTGAAAGGGGGAGCGGGGAGGGAGGTGATAAGGGGGGGTGGTGGTAGTGGGGGCAGTGTGTGTGTGTGTGTGTGGGGGGGGGGGGGGGGGGTCTGGCTGTGTTCTTTCTCCTCTGACTGTGTGCGAATGAATTCACAGACGGTTCAGTAGTAATTTGATGTGTGTCCCCAAGGACATTTGATGGATTAAAGCTAAGCAGCTCCATTTCGCAGCATCACCTGATCTTTCACTGCCTGTGTCCCATATAAAAGCTGGAGAGATCGCTGATCTCAGCTAGTCCGACAGTCTCTCTCTCTCTCCTCCACACACACACTCTCTCTCTCTCTCTCTCTCTCTCTCTGTGTCTCTCTCTTCTCTCTGGTCCCTTAAGCCTGCTGCATCACAGGAGCTATCCAGTGCTGAACCAGAAGATTTTTTATATTTTTGAAAGCTGGGGGAGCCATAGAGTAACACATAGCATTGCCGTCAGCCTTGTTCTCCACTGGTTTCCATTTTCTTTCCTTCTCTTATGTTTTTTAGAGGTTGGCTTTTCGTTTAACACAAGGATTACTACTACCGTCAGCCGGCTCCAGCTCTGCCTGTTTGCTGCTTTCTTTGAGAGTCTTTTATTTTATTCTCATGCGTGATTCTCGGGTCTGTGTGTTTTTTATTCTTTGAAACATGCCCCGTTCGTTTTTAGTGAAGAAAATCAAGCTTGATGATTTCTCTTCGTCCAATGCTGCCTCTAATCACCATCACCACCAGGACGACTCGTTCACTCCTTTCACACGCTCCATCACTGACTCTGTGACCAACTTGGGGGTTCGTCTCAGTGAGAATGGTGAGTTTGCATACCTCTGCACAGCACACACACGTCCTGCCTGCCGTTGTCTAGGGTGTGCTACTGTAATATCACTGCTCCCTTTGGAGAACCAGGTTTAGTTGTTGATTGCAGAATCAGAATGCCCCATGATATCAATATAGTAAACACAGTTGGAATTCTCTTTTGTTTGTGTATTAGTGGTTGTTAAGTGAAATAGTGCCTCTTCACCCCTTGACATGCCTGTTGTCTGGGAATTGATAACAGATGTTACATAAAGCCGGCTGATTTTGCATCCGTATCCCAAATAATCCTCTCCAGCAACACCACCCCACCCCCATCGTGCTCCCAGACTTTTGTTTTTTGACTCTGATGATAGGCAGACACAATTCAGGTCACAGCAGAGGATCGGCTTATGCAAATTGGGGAGCAAAATGTGCCTCTCATCTGTAGACGTGTGTATCTGAATTTGTATTACTTGCACAAATTACTGTGTGCCTGAAACATACAGGATGACAAATTGAAATATTAACATACAGGATGACAAACTGAAAAATTTATGAACCTGAAAGATGAGTGCCGGATGATACATTTGTCCTTAGCTGTTATTGTCCTTGAGTTTCCATCACAGTCCGAACCCCCCTCTGCCCCCTCCCTTCCCACCCAACCAGAGCATGCATGCACAGTCTCCCCACCCCCATCCGTCCGCTACATCTTTCTCCTCCTTCCGGGCGTTTGAAAACTAGCAGGGGTAGAGTTTCAGCCATGTACAGTACGGCCAGGGGAGGTGGGTTAGCTGGGGCAGAGGGGGAGCGAGGAGAGAGAAAGGGAGAAGAAGGAGACAGTTGCTTTGGGCAACATTGACGAGGGGCCACGTGACCAAGGGTATACAGTAAACATAGAAGAAAAGTCACATAGCTGCACAGTGGGCAGCGTTAGGACTGGGCAGCACGCTAAGCCCAAGTCCATCAGAGCAAGAGCCAGAGAGAGACGTCCTTCACTTTCAGTCAGTCAGGTTTTAGCTCGCTCCCATTTTGTGGCCATATTTAGGAAGCCAGATGTCTGTCTCTCTTTGTTATTTTGTCTTGGCAATAAGCAGATAGCTTTACAGTTCAGCTCAATCTGTGAACGAACGATGCCCACTCGTTATTCAATCACATCACATAATACTGTGATTCAGTGATTTTAGATTAGCAACAGCAACCAATAACAAAAGCACATGTGTGCACAGTGCTGTTGTTATTGACAAATGATGGCTGTAGTGAATGGTCAATTTAACCAAATATATATTTTGAAATGATAGAGTATGAGGATAAATAAACGTGTGTTTTATTTACACAAATGCACAAGGTTATGATGAAGTTATGGAACCAGATTAATTGCAAAAACATTACCTCTTTACATAAATTATGCGGTTGAAATTGCAATCCTTTATAAAGATGTTAGTCTCACTCTCTATTGTTGTGTCAATAATAAACACTATTCCTCTTCCTTAGAGAAATAAATAATTATAACTGGGAAAAAATAACATTATGGATTATTGCATTAGTTCCAACAATTACCATTGTATGCAGACAAAGGAAACCTTCTTGTCTGCTCAATGAAATCCCAGAGAAATCATAACATTGTTGAAATGTCTTGCATCAGCACTTATGCTGCGCCAACAGATTTTCCCCCATTGTGGAGACATTTGACTTGAAGTGTCTGTCGAACAACAAAGGAGGAAGGTGGGAGAGGGAGTCCATTAATTACATGCTTGCTTTGTATTAGAGGAATGAGTCGCTGTACTGCAAAGGTTGAGACAGCATTAGTTAAGCCACAAATGATGAACTCTCTGTCTGACCTTAAGTAATTGAAACCGGTTACATATGTGCAATTAATCAGGGGAATAGAAAACAAGATGTCCATATACTGTATGTTCCAATAACAATCTGTTGCTGTTTACAGTATGTTTGACTATTTTCCTGTGCTCTCTTAGGGTACTGTATATTGGATGAGATAGTGTCTCATTTTAGATGTTGGAAGAAAATAAAACAATGTGCTATAGACTTGAAATAGCCTATGAAGTCTTTTTTTATTAATTTTTATTTTTTTACTATAGGCTACATCTCCCAAATATCATGAGTTGTTAGCTAGTCAACAAGAGGTGGTGCTTTTGACCAAATACCACCCCTGCCTTCCTGTAAGATCCCAGTCTCCCAGTGCCACAGTATCATGGTAATGCCTTTGACAAGGAATGGGCTCTGAGTGGGAACCCTTGGGAATGGAGACAGCATTCTAAGAGAGCACTCGAATGACCTGATTCTTAAAGGCACTTCAGCGAGCTTACTGTTGCATACAGGTGACCCTGTTCTGCTGGTAATCCTGTTTATCATGTTTCAGCTTAACCTTTCCATCACTGAACCATGTTCAATAGGCTATCATTGTATGGTCCTCTCCAGTCACTTTATTCTGTGCCTTGGCCTGCATTATTTTTCCCCCCACACAGTGTGTGTTCCAACAGCTGTACTATTTTACAGACGATGGCATATTGATCAGCAAGAAACGTAGAATTTCATTAAAAAACAGTCAATAGTTAATTTACACCGCTTGTGCACACAGTGCTTAGGAATGGGCTTTTTTCTGCAGTGATGCACTACTTCTCCCAGGGCAGGATTTGCCCCACACATTCGAATTGGAATTGTATGTCTGTCCTATATTCTAGGAAGCTATTAAAGTGGAACATGTTTAGATAAATGCATACACGTTTGTAGATGAACTCGGCTAATGTTAGTTTATATTCAGTGTTGTTTAGTTCTTTACAGCTGCCAGGAAACCTTTTAGCTTCACTTGGCTGCCTCACAATTAAAGGAGGGACATTAAAAATTGTCTAGACAAAAAAGATTGCCTGTCTGTAATGTAACATCAGTCAATAATAAATGTTGGAAATATGCTGGAAGTGCTACTCTGTTGAGATCAGAGGCATCATGCCCATAGTGGGCACATGCCCCATCAGATTTGTCATGTAAAAAATATGTATGGGGGGGGGGTTCTCTGTAATACTACTAGCAACCTAGCAATTTTATGAAGTTGGCTTTAGCTAGCCCAGATAGGTTCCCAATCTCCCAACCTCATAACTATAGCTATAGCTACCAAAAAGCCATTTCAGGCTATCAATCCAGTTAGAGTAGCTAGCTTGTCTAACTATCTTAGCTGGCATGCCTGCTGCCAAGGTTGGTAGACTTTAGAAAAGCAAGCAATAACTAAATGTACTGAATAAGACTCACATTCCTTTCAATCTTTTACCCACATTTTAGCAGAGATGCAGAGAAGCATATTTATTTTCAAAAAAAAAAAAAACACCAGTCAGGAAGATACAGACAGCTCAAGAGGTATGCTTAAATATGTAGAAAAAAATATATATATATATATATATATTTTTTTACATAGAATTAAGCATCTAGATTGCAGGAAAAAGCTGTTTCAGGTGTTTAAAAAATGCACAATTCTCCAACTTCCGGAAAGGGGGCCTAGCCTGCCTCCAGACCACCCCCCAGCCATCCTCACATACTTTACACCCCATCAGATTTCTGTGGTGCAGATAAATGAATTTATAGTGTGGTAGACAGTCACCCCAGACCCTTGACTGTGTGTGCTGTCTGATGTGCCCAGCGTGTTCAGGCTTAAATTGGGCAAACACATCAAAGAGATAGACCCTCAGTCACAGAGGATTGACATACCTTATAGTGAGAAAGTCTTATCATGGGAAGAAAAGGTGCCTAATCAATGAGACCACTTTGTGTAGTAAGAGGGGCCTTTTTTCACAGGAGGTCTCTTTAATGAGCTATTATCTGCATTTAGCAGCCACCACTCATCTGCACTGTAACTGTGTAATAAGGGTGAATGCGGAGAATAATGTTCTGCAGCAGCATAACAGTCCGAGGCCTGTGGTAATTGCTGTGTGAATTGGGGAAATTGCAATTTGTTTTGTATGTTTGTATGCTATTGTTTCATAATTTACAAGAGGCAATCATCAATGATAATCATATAATCATGTCACAATGGACTTATCCACCACAACCCCCGGCCTACTGTAGATTATGTGTCATTGTGTGTGTGTATTTTGCCTTATTCTAACTATTATTGTGTATGTTTTCTCCAGGCTACATCCAGGATTACATCACGCCATCTGTATACCAGGGGGAGAAGAAGATGGAGCTCAAGCTGGCCTCGCCCGTCTCTGACCCCCTTTACACCCAGGTGAGCAGCGGGGGCGAGGAGTACTGTGACCCTGACCTGGAGCACCCCGACAGCCCCCAGTCTGGCATGACGGCCAGCGGCTTCTACAGCAGCGAGGCGGAGGCCCCGACCGAGGGCTACACCATGGATGCCTTCTTCATCTCCGACGGGCGCTCGCGGCGGAAGGGAGATGGTGACGGCCGTAAGGGAGGTAGTTCCGCCACATCCAATGCCGATGCCACGGAGGAGAGGGAGGCAGGAGCCGCCGGCACAGCCCGCCACTCCTGCAACGAGTGTGGCAAGACGTACGCCACCTCATCCAACCTCAGCAGGCACAAGCAGACGCACCGTAGCCTGGATAGCAAGATGGCGCGCAAGTGTCCCACCTGCGACAAAGTGTATGTGTCCATGCCGGCGCTGGCCATGCACATCCTCACCCACGACCTCAAGCACAAGTGCGACGTGTGCAGCAAGGCCTTCAGCCGGCCCTGGCTCCTGCAGGGCCACATGCGCTCGCACACCGGGGAGAAACCGTTCGCCTGCGCCCACTGCGGCAAAGCCTTTGCTGACCGCTCAAACCTCCGCGCCCACATGCAAACACACTCTGCCTTCAAGCACTACCGATGCAAGCGCTGTAATAAGACCTTCGCCCTGAAATCCTACCTGAACAAGCACTATGAGTCAGCCTGCTTCAAGGGTTCCGGGGACGAAGATGACGACGAGTCCTGCTCTGAGAACTAGCTGCCGGAACCAGAAGAACGGAAGCAGAATTTGGAACCCTAGGTTCTACAACCAATAACCCCCTTCACTCTACCCTCATCCCTTTTTTCTTCCCTTTTTTAGAAAGCAATATTTTCACTGAGATTACGTGAAGAAAACTGTTCTGATTATGGCAAAGACAATTTCAAAATATGCTGGATTCCCCCCCGCACAGTAGCTAATCGTCCACAGATACATACAATCAAAACACCCATCCCCCAAATAAAGACTTGTTTTTAGCTCACACACACACACACACACACAAACACACGCACAAGCATACGCACACACAAACACACACCCACACATGCACACACACAATTATATATATGAGGCCTGGCATGTGAATTTTTATCAATGACTATAATGATATTGATATCAATAGTAATAATATTTAGATTCCTGATATTTTATAGCAAATAGTACAGGAAAAAAAATGTACAACATAAAAAAAGGACTGTAACAGTGTTCTTTTGTTTTTTAGAGACAAAAATGACCTCTTGTATTTTTATGCTGCTTTTTATTTGCTAAGAATTGAATTCTTTTGCAACTGCCAACATGAACTTTTTATGAAAATTTGAATTATGACAGTATTTTCAAAAAAGGGAGATAATTTAAAAGTTAAAAACATACCCTTTTTGTCACACATATGTTTTTAATTCAATAATGTGTTATTTTTCTATTGTCCGATTCAATTTGTTGTTTATTTTTTGTGCCAATTCTATCTTGATTTTTTTAAAAGCAAAGCATCTTTGTAACTGTGGGTATTTCCAAAACTTCCAGCCAAACCTATTGAACAAAACCTAAAGGCAAACTACATCAGCTGAGAACAATTAGGATCATGAACCAGGGGTCATTCTCAGTTCCATCAGAGCAGTTGTTTTGAGTTGTTCTGGAAACCTGTTGAACAGGTTGTGGTATCACAAGATACCTGCGGCAATCAAAGTATACGCTCTTCATCATACTTGGAACTAGAACAATAATAACACTGGGAGCCAAACCAAATCTACCGATCTGTTGTTATAAGTGCCATGTGCATTGTGCAGTGACCTGTCTATAGCAATGAAAACCATCCCTGTTCTTCCTCCACCACAGTGGCTTGCATGAACTTTGCCACTCTGTGGTGTTTCCCTCAGTCTTACATAATAAGCAATGTTCATTATACACTCTCTGAGGTGCTCCCCCTCTTTTTCTATTACCTCAAAAAGGAAAAGCTATGATCTCATGACATGCACCCTCAGTTACAAAGGAATCGTTTTTGTATTTATATGTCGCTAAAAGTTATTTCTACCATTAGATCTATAGCATCCTACTACCATGTACATAATGTATTTCTCTATTTATGTAACTATTAATTTATTTGTCAATTTATCTATGTATTTTATTAATTTATATTATTTATTAATTTATTCATCTATTTATTTATGCCATTACAATATTTGCCCACTCACGTGTTGAAACCTGACTTTCCATTGACCTTGTAAGATGCTGCTGATCTTCAAAGAAAATGTTTATATGCATGAAACTGTAGAGTCCATTGGACTTTGTTTTTTAAAGAGGAACAATGTCTAGTATCAGCGGTAACTTCAAACAAATGATGAATGCAGATTATATTTGTTTCACGGCAATAATAACTTCACTGGTACGGCAATTGACATGTATAATAATAATAATAATCAAAGCTGTCCTGTTTGCAGTCCATTTAGGGCAATAAAATGAAAAAGATGAACAAGAAATGTTAAGATATCCTCCATCTTGTTGTTACCTGAACCAGAGTCCACTCAACTGCCTCCCTCCAGATATTGGCCGAAGATTGACCCTTGAAGGGTTCATAATCATAATGTCATGCAAAACTGTAGCAAACCTTATTATTATTCTTTATAAGAAATCCCATGAAATCTAAGATTTTCCACATACAGTACCAGTCAAAAGTTTGGACACACCCAATCATTCAAGGGTTTTTCTTTATTTTTACTATTTTCTACATTGTTAAATAATAGTGAAGATATCAAAACTATGAAATAACACATATGGAATCATGTACTAACCAAAAAAGTGTTAAGTGTTATGACAGCTTTGCACACTCTTGGCATTCTCTCAACCAGCTTCACCTGGAATGCTTTTCCAACAATCTTGAAGGAGTTCCCACATATGCTGAGCACTTGATGGCTGCTTTTCATTCACTCTGCGGTCCAACTCATCCCAAACCATCTCAATTGGGTTGAGGTCAGGTGATTGTGGAGGCCAGGTCATCTGATGCAGCACTCCATCACTCTCCTTCTTGGTCAAATAGCCCTTACACAGCCTGGAGGTGTGTTGGGTCATTGTCCTGTTGAAAAACAAATGATAGTCCCACTATGCGCAAACCAGATGGGATGGCGTATTGCTGCAGAATGCTGTGGTAGCCATGCTGGATAAGTGTGCCTTGAATTCTAAATAAATCACAGACAGTGTCACCAGCAAAGCACCCCCACACCATCACACCTCCTCCTCCATGCTTCACGGTGGGAACCACACATGTGGAGATCATCCGTTCACCTACTCTGCGTCTCACAAAGACACGGCGGTTAGAACCAAAAAATCTCAAATTTGGACTCATCAGACCAAAGGACAGATTTCCACCAGTCTGATGTCCATTGCTCATGTTTCTTGGCCCAAGCAACTCTTTTCTTCTTATTGTTGTCCTTTAGTAGTGGTTTCTTTGCAGCATTTCGACCATGAAGGACTGATTCACACAGTCTCCTCTGAACAGCTGATGTTGAGATGTGTCTGTTACTTGAACTCTGTGAAGAATTTATTTGGGCTGCAATTTCTGAGGCTGGTGACTCTAATGAATTTATCCTCTGCAGCAGAGGTAACTCTGGGTCTTCCTTTCCTGTGGCGGTCCTCATGAGAGCCAGTTTTCTTGCGACTGCACTTGAAGAACTTACAAAGTTATAGAAATTTTCCGTATTGACTGACCTTCATGTCTTAAAGTAATGATTGTCTGTCATTTCGCTTTGCTTATTTGAGCTGTTGTTGCCATAATATGGACTTGATCTTTTACCAAATAGGGCTATCTTCTGTATACCCCCTCCTACCTTGTCACAACACAACTGATTGGATCAAACGCATTTACTTTTAACAAGGCACACCTGTTAACTGAAATGCATTCCAGGTGACTACCTTATGAAGCTGGTTGAGAGAATGCGAAGAGGGTGCAAAACTGTCATTAAGGCAAAGGGTGGCTATTTTGAAGAATCTCAAATATAAAATATATTTTGATTTGTTTAACACTTTTTTGGTTACTACATGATTCCATATGTGTTATTTGTGTTACAATGTAGAAAATAGTTTAAAAAATAAAGAAAAACCCTGGAATGGGTAGGTGTGTCCAAACTTTTGACTGGTACTGTATATAACATCAAAGTCTTCCTTATTCAACCCTCTGAATAGGATAGGGGGAATCGGTTATTTTGAGACACATTCTATACTACCAGCTGGCTTGTCTTCCACAGCTCACAGAACTGTATTCCAGAATCCTGACAGGTTGAGTTAGTTGGAAGGAGGACTGAGGAGCCCCAATCATCATGCCAGAGGAGATAATGGCAATGGGAAGGCTTTTTTCCCAGGTGGATTAGCCAGGCGATAATAATAGCAATGCAGTAATTATAAAACAGTGTCGACCCCAATTGCTCTCCAGATTACCCTGCCAGAGCATTGCTGCACTCCACTAATGCCCTGGAAAAGGGTAAAGTCGGGAATCGAGAGATTGGCTGTAAGACAGTGGTTTCACTCCTTATAATGAAGACTGGGTAGGTTTCTGTAGCCTGGTCTAGCAGTGCAAGGGGGATATGCCTTGAAAATACCTTAAAAGTTGAATAGACATTTGAATGTTTCAAAACTCTGCCACAGTATATAGGAAACAGTTAAAACACAAGAAATGTAAAATAACACTTCCCATAACAGAAAATTGCCACTTGGTTGGAAGGCTGAAAATAATGGTGTAAGGCATCAGGGTGATACAGAGTGCTTTCCATTTAGCACATCTGTTATAATAGGCATTTTTCACAATCACTGGCGCTTCCAAAATTAAGCTATTTGGCAGATCACTCTGCATTGAATCCATGTGTTTCTTTTTGGGATTAGCAGTTTGAAACAATGAGGTGACTATAAGCAAGGTAATTATATAAATTTAAAATGTATCATTATGATTAATGTAACAACAAAATGTATGTTCATCCATCAATTGACGATGAAGGTTTTTATACAAATTCCTTTCTTCATGTCTGATAGCCACCTAAATCTCTTAATGACAAAGACTCTGTTATTGTAATAAGATAATAATACACTCCATCCTCTCCCACCTCACATCATAACCCCTCTCCCCCTCTAACTGGTTTTGATGAGACGTGTGGTTTAGTGGTGTTTGAGATGTGCTAGTCTGGGATTGGTATAGGGCCGTGTCGTGTGGGAGGATAACAGGTGTTTGCAGACAGACTGCAGATAGGGAGAGTAATTGAGTTGGTGAGCGACCTCCAAGGGGAAGGTCGAGCACCAGCAGGCAAATGCACTGTCAGCTATTTGCATATTCTAAATGGATGACACAGTCACAGTAATGGTGAGCTCTCCTTTAAAAACCTGCAGGGAAAAAACTGAGTCTTCATTCTATCGTTCCATCCTTCCCTCTATTTTACCACTACCACTCAACTCATATAATGACCCTGACCTCTATATTAACCTCTGATTTTCATCCTCAAGATGTAGTCTTGGTTCATGATAGGCTTGGTGACCATACTGTACGTGTTGTGAAAAACCACCTGTCTCCACAGCAACTTGTGGAATATGTGTATACAGGTACTTCATTTGTAGAGTATTTTGAGTTCAGAAGGAAATTGTTGTTTTTCTGATTACTGAAGCCCAAAATGATTTTGTAGCTCATTCTCCTAGTTGATGGGGGGATCCATGTTTGTTCTGAGCAATATCACAACCAAACTGCACTG